TATCTTTTTTTGGGGGGCCACGGGGGTCTTTGTTATCTTTTGTAACATTGGGATGTACCCCAATCAGATGCCTTAAGTTATTCTGATGGTTCCTCAAATTCCACTAGAGAACAAGAAAAAGTCAGAGACTAAAGAGTCCCCATAGTCTTTTCCTCATATTATACCCCCAATGGGTCACCAAAAGTTGTGGAGAAGAATTGGGGTGTAGGCTGGAGGTGCGGGAGGGAGGGGTGGAAGAATTCACCAGAGACAGAGTAGAGGACAGAAAAGGCAGATTTATTGAAATACACTGCTAAGAGAAGCAGTGGGTGAGACAAGAGAAGTCCTTTGTGCTATGTCTGTTTTTTTAAGATTTATTTTTATTTATGCATACAAGAACTGGGGTGCAAGCCAGAGGTGTGGGGGGGGGGTGAGAGGATTTACCAGATACAGAGTGGGTAGCAAAACAGGTGAATCTACTGAAATACACTACTGAGGGAAGCAGTGGGTGAGACAGGAGAGGTCTGCTGCGCCATGTGGGTAACTCCCTGACCCGGGATGGAACTCATGCTGCAGTGGCTGCCCAATAGCTTGATAGTGCTGGGACTTCCCTGTTTTGTTTTTTTTTTTTAAGGAAATGTACACTCCCTCTCCCCCCACCCCCCTTTTTAAAGGAAATATACACTCAAGCATTTAGGAGTAAAGGGACATCATACCTACAATTTGTTTATAAACAACTGAAAAATTTATAGATTGATAGAGTGTAAATGTGGTTAAATATTAACAGTTGGAGAATCTGGCTAAGGCTATATAGTGATTCTTGAATGATTTTTGAAACTTTAGGTCTGAAATTATGAAATGCTTAAAACATGAGTTCCTAGATACCACAGATAGGTTTGACACATCTAGAATTAGAACCAGAGACAAGGAACATACTTAGGTCCTGAAACCAGCTGGGTTTGAGGAACCAGCTGTGCTTGCTGAAGAACAGAAAGTAGGGAAGATGGGGGAGGTACCTGGACTTTACTCCCTCAGAAAGAAACAGATTCACTCATAAGCAATTTTCCTCTTATCTCTAGACATTCCTCAGTAGACCTCAGAAACCCCTTGTCTGACTATATGAGATGATTTTTTATGCTTTATTATTTTGGCCTAGTTACCATGTAGTACAATCTTATGTATCACTGAGTGACAAATTAATGCTGCAAATTTGATAATTCTAATACTAATTATGCAATTGGTGTTATTGCTATTATTATTTGGCTTGGTTTTAATTACCTTTAGTTCAGATAGCTTGGTTGTTCCTTTATAATATAAAGAAAGGAAAGGAACATGGTCTAGATTTAGGCATGCTTACACTGTGCTATTTCTATGTGTATCAGACTAAGGCTGAATTTCATAGAAAACTTTGTAACCTCAGGGTACAAGCTTGGGTTTTGGTGCTGGTCACACAGACAGAACAGGGTACAAATCTGGTGACTTCTTAGGCAAGGTGAATTTGAACGAGTTGCCTGCCTCTTTTGAAGTTGTTTTCTTATTTATGAAATGTAAAAAAAATAAAGCCTGGTTGATTGAAGACTTTAGCATAAACCATTCTGCCCAGTTGCTAACTGGTATTTGTGACAGAAGAAATCAACCTCTTCAAGTAAGAGACCTGAGGCAAACAGCATGGGAGGCGAAGGAAGGGGGTCAAAATAGGAGAGCGAAGAGCACAAAGGACTATGGTGATAGTTCATGGGTGATGTGGTGGTGGGAGAATTATGGGGTTTACAGGAGGAGAAAAATCAAATACTGTACAAAAATGAACAACAATGTAAGAAACTAAACTAAATAATAAAAACTAACAAAAACCAAAATAACCAAAAGAGAGAGAGAGAGAGAGAGAGAGAGAGAGAGAGAGAGAGAGAGAGAGAGAGAGAGATCAACCTCTTTCCAACAAACTCTGGATGAACCCTCTGTTAAACTTGTGAACAGAAAGATGGGATCTGGGCAGGTGATTCTCATGTTGCAGCCAAGATTGAGATGTGTGGTCTTTTTTATTTGCTCCTGGTTCTAAATATTAATGTTCACATGTCACAAATAAATTTCAACAAGTAGGGCATTTTGCAAAAACTCACTCTGAAAACATGAAGATAGTGGTGTCATTTCTATTCTTCCTCTGTCCTTCTCAGCTATATCTGTCATCATTTTCTTCAGAGGCCTGCTTACCCATTCAAGGGGATCTTTTTAATTTGCAGCCTGCTTCGGATCGTTCCATTCTGTACTCAATGGAGAACTGAATGAGACAGATCAGTCTATCAATCAATGAACAATCAATCAATATGAATGAAGAATTTTAAAACACCTAATAGAAATTGTGAGAGGTACAATGGAAAAGAAAAATTGAAGGAGCAATGTTTTTTAAAGAGGATTTTGCTATTTACCAATAATCAAGGAAAGTTAATAAGTAAAACAAATGATACTGGTAAGTACCTAAGTCTAGTTTAAAATGAATGTTGTGCACTGTAGCCTCTAAAGAAACTACCAGTAAGGTCATTAAATAAAATTTTTTCCAAGTCATGAACTTTTTAAAAATTTTTATTTATTTTATTGTCTTACATCATTGTCATCCCCACAGTTCTCCTGCCACCGTATCATCTGTGAATCATCACCATAGCCCCTTGTGTTCTTCCCACCCTTATTTTTGATGCCCCTCTCCCTTACTGTATGCTTCAGATCTATAGACAGCTTACTAGTTTTGTCTTTTTCCTAACCTTTTGTTTGGTTTCTCTATATTTCCCATATAAGTGAAATCATCTGATATTTATCTTTTTCCTTCTGACTTATTTTGGCTAGCATAGCCCCTTCCAGTTCCATCTGTGTTGCCCCAAATGGCATGAGTTTGTCTTTTTTGATAACTGAGTAATATTCCATTGTGTAAACATACCACAACTTCTTGATCCATTCATCTATTTTGGGACATTTAGGTTGTTTCCATATCTTGGCTATTGTAAGTAGTGCTGGCATAAATATAGGAGCACAGGGTTCCTGTCGAATTAGTGTTTTTGTGACCTTTGGGTAGATTTCTAGGAGTAGAATCACTGAATCATATGATAGATCCATTTTCAGTGTTCTGAGGAAGTGCCACACAGCTTTCTATAGTGAAAGCACCTGTTTCAAGTCATGGGCTTTTCATGGGCCTAAAAGGAGAGAAGACAGATAAACAGAGAAGGTAAAAGCATTCCAGATATATGAATACAGCCTGGGGAATGGGAATGAATACTTTCCCCAAAATAAAAATAAAGAGATGGTGACTATAATAAAGAGATGAAGAATGAAGAGGCTAGGTAGGCTTTTGCATGTTGGAGGCTGGAACCATAGAGCTGGGTGCAAGCCCAGTGATGCCTGATGATGCGAAGTTTCTTACTTCAAGAGACATTTTTTTTTTAAAAAAAGATTTATTTATGCATACAAGAGCTGGGGTGTAGGCCAGAGTTGTGGTGGTGAGGGGTGGGGGGTGAGAGGATTCACCAGAGACAGATCTGCAGAACAGGCAGATCTTCTGAAATACACTGCTGAGGGAGGAGCTAGCAAGACAGAAGAGGTCTGCTGTGCCATGTGGGTTAGATCCCTGGCTGGGGATCGAAATCCTGCTGCAGTGGCTGCCAATAGCTTGATAGTGCTCAGACTTAACCCCCTGCACCTCCAGGGAGCTCCACTCCAAGAGACATTTACCAGAAAACACTGACAAAACATCCCAGTTGGTTCACTAACATCAAACATTTTGGATCCCATTCTTATTTGATACAAACTTTTAACCAAGCGTCTCAAAAACTCACTGGTATAATAGATATTTTAATTTAGGGTCATCTAAATATTTGAAAGGACATCTTCTTCAGCAGGAAACCAGCCAACTACATACTATTTATAGAAAACATTAGAGGTATAAAGAATCCTATTTTTTTTTTTTTTGCCTTAAAGAGAATAGCTTGAAGATTTTAGAACTCTATTATGAGTGCCAGTCACTGCTCTATCAGATTGTGGTACAAGGTGGCTGACTTGGCCTCTGGGCTGTGGCTGCAGCCACCTTTGGTGGGGCCAGCCTCTTAAGGACACTTTATAAAAGATAATCCAAACATGGAGTGCTGTTATTAACACAAAGACCAAAACCTACAGTGGCTGTTTATTTTCTTGTACGTTCTACAGTATGGCACAATGCTGGGATCCTAGGAGCAGAAACATCGTGGAACAAGCAGGAATCCATGATGATTGGGACTAACACTATATTTTGGCTTTGTAAGTGATATTTACTGAATGAGATGCAATCATTCTTTCAACACACCCTAATTAGGCACCTGATCTATACCAAGAACTCTGCAACACCCCGGGGCACAGAGACAGCAGGAGTGAGAGTAACATGTCCATTCTAGGTGCCCGGGAGCCCTTTACAGAAGACATTCATTCGTCCTCCCCAGAACCCTGCCAGATACACATCCTTAGCTTCGTTTTTCAGGGAGAAAACTGAGGTTTTGAGCCGCAAGACATCTACCTCCACAGCCCCCTGATCTCTAGCGAATACTCCTGAACGTCTCTGTCCGCCCTTTAACTTCCTCTGTGCTGATTAAGAACCGGAGGAGATGCTGAACATCACCTAGGCACACCTCATCCTCTCTCTAGGGAACTCCAAGTGTTGGAGGGCTCTTAGCGTGCCCGCTGTGCTGCCGGGGAGACACCCACTTCCTAACACGTTGGGGAGTCCTTTGGAAGGAGACGCCAGAGGTTTCGTCGACGCGCCCAGGACGCCAAGACTCCAGAGGGTTTCCCTGGAAGATCCTGCCGTCTGTCCCTAGAGGAGAAGGCTGGCCCCCGGGCGGCTCCCCTTTCCCAGACCGCACACCGGGACGCCAGGTTTTCTTTGCCTTCAAAGCTCCGCGCGGCTGCGACTAAGGACCCAGACCTTGGGCAGGGGCCAAACGGTCACTTCCCCGCCCCGAGCGCAGTATGCAAATCCGAGCACCAGGAAGTGGCTGGGACCTCTCGGCCGAGCCCAGCGACAGCCAGTTCCTCTCCCGCCGCGCCGGGCCGCCAGCCTCTCGCTCGCCGGTCGCGGCGCCTCCGGGCCTGACGCGCTGCAGCCGCCTGTCCGCGGCGGGCGGGGAGGCCGCGCCACCCCAAGTTCGGAGTCCGCAGCCCCCGGCCGCACGCCCTCGGTCCCCGGCCCGCCGCCTTCCCCGCACGGGCCCCGCCGGGCCGCCCCGTCGCGCCCTCAGCTCTGAGCTCAAGTCACCGTGGAGCGCGGACGCAGCGCCCCGCAACTTCCCACCGCAAGCTGGTGAGTCCTCGGCGCGAGCGCGGGCGCCGGGGCGCACGGGGAGGGGGCCGCGGCCGCGCCGTCGCCGGAGACCCGGGTCGGAGTGTCCGCGCGGCCGCCGGGATGGGGGGCGCCCGCAGCTTCCTGGCCATACCGGCGACGAGCCCGTTGTGGGGACCCCCAAATGATCTCAGCCTGTGGGTGGCTGGCCCCGGGGAGCGAGGAATTGGTGGCGAGCGTCCCCGCAGGTGTCCTTCCAGGGGAGCCACACAGGGGCGTGGTGAGATAGATGTGCGGGGGCGGGTGCACCGCGGGTCCCGCGGCGCCAGCGGTCGGCGGGATGCTGTCTCCTTGGGCTACTCTCCGTGCGCCGCGGGGACTCCCCTCGCAGGGCAGAGAGGGCAGCCGACGGGAATCCTGGAGGAAAGTCTTCGGGTTGCACAATCTGGTCTCCCAGCTGGGCCCTGAGTCCCCAGAGTTGAGGGGTGAGGCTCAGCCTAGGTCCTCTCCCAGGCCCTTGGGCAGCTGCCCCCTCGGTGGCCACTGCAGGGGGGTGACGTCGAGGGGCTACAGCCGAGGCTGGCGCGCACACTCCTGCTGAGCGCGGCGCCTCTCCTGCACTGGAGCGCTCCACTGTCTTGCCAGCAGAGAGGAAGCCAGGGTTATTTTAAGAATTCAGGGTTGCCTTTCCTTGGCCTTGGGGGAAGGGTGTAAGAGTTAGTTCCCACCATCCTGTGTTCTCTTGGCTGAATGTGACATCTCTCCAGGCTGTGCATTTGTAATGCTCCTTCTAATAACCGGCGTGGTCGTGCAGTTGTGCCTCCATTTGTGTGAGCTTTGTATGTGTGTGTCTTAGTAACCCCAAATCCCCCAACTTTGCCATGTCAGAAAACTGAGTTGAGTCCTGGATCCAGACTGTGCAATTTCCTAGTTGTGTGTGAACTTGGCCCTATCATTGAAATCCCCTGTTTGGGTTTTCTCATCTTTGAAAGAACATATTTACCTCCTAAGTTATTTATTGCCTGCGAAGTCCCAAGCACATTCCAGGCATTCCATAAATGGTGCTCTTATTATTTTTTTATGGCAAATGGTTCTGTCTGCAAAAAACGAGACTCCCTGGTTCTTAGCAATATGAGTATCTTAAACCTAAGACTGCAGAGCGGATTTAGTCACCTGACCTGACTAGTATACCACTTAAAAAAAAAAAAACGTCAGGGAGGGCCTCCCCTGGTGGCGCAGCGGTTAAGCGCTGGGTTGCGAAGCAGCCCGCAGCCTCTGCAGCACCGGCCGCGGGGCGAGGGTCCCACATGGCGCGCAGACCTCTCCTGCCGCCCGCTGCTCCCCTCAACAGCGTACTTAGTCAGTCTGCCTGCTCTGCTCTCCACTGTGGCTCTGGTGAATTCTCTCACCCTCTCGTGCTTCTGACTGTACCCAGTGCTCGTATAAATAAATAAACAAATCTTAAAAAAAAAAAAAAAAAAAAAAAACATCAGGGATTTGCTGTTCCAAGTAGGGTCCCAGAGTCTGACTCATCCTAAGAACTAACTAATGATATGTTGGTTGACCCCCAAATTGTCCACATGTGTCTAGTCTGTACTCACCATACAACGAAAGCTCCATGAAACAGATTTATCTTATTTAAAACACTAGCCTTGGTGCCTATCACATAGTCAAGATGACTTGGGAAAAGGAATGAAAATATGCTCTGATCTTCGCCCAGTGTGAGGCCGGGGCGACAGGGACATGAAGACACAGGGCTGGTTTCTAAGGCATTTAAAGCACACTGACTCTCTCTTTTCTGATTTCTAAAATGGGGATTTGAGGAACTTGGACTGTCAGGTTCTTTGGGCACTAATGTTCCACCTGGGACTCCCCACCTCCCACTGCTTAATCTGCTGTATCATTGGGAGAGAGCAGACTTGCTTGGAAGTGTAAGTGGAGTCTGTAAAAGTAGTTTGCCAGATAAAAAGACCCAATTTATCTTGGAATTATTGGCATTGCAAAGATATGAGGAGAATTTGTAATATCCCCTCTCCACTGACATTCTTTTAGAAGAGGAACAGCCTTGCAGTTTTGTGAATTAATAACTTTCAATGCCTTTTAGTTCCTTTATATTTGTTTTTAAACATTACTGAAACATCTGAGATTCCACTTGGTTCAAATGAATATATGGAGTTGTAATTTAACAAAATTAAACTATAGAACCTATGAAGACATACATATTAATTAAAAATCTGCATAAATACGAATTCAATGTATACACTTCCACAGCCTGGGACATTGTTATAGCTCACACTGTTATCTCAGTGACTTCCTTGTCCTCACCTTGTCGTCAAGTGTGGGCATTATTAGCATTAGCATTGATAAGTCACCATACTCAGAGGGAAAATTGATCATTGATATATTGATGACAGACTCAGCCTCACACCTCTCTTGGGCTCACTCTCCTCTCCCTGGCAATCAGAGTCTGAACTTTGATTTCCTTTGAGCTCTCATGGCCTCTGGGGCTGGGCAGGGAGAGGTGTGGAAAGAGATTTGGTGGCATAGTCTTAATTAAGTGCCACTGTTGAGCAGGGTCGGTATGTTTTATGGCTCCAACCTTAGAGATTTCCTCATTTTTCTGTCTTTGGAACTGTAGAAGGTAGCTAGTTACTTAAACCGAAAAAAATTTCTCTCTTAATGAAAATTTTTGGAAGACTGTCACAAGGCAGTTTTCTCCTATCAGTTGGTAGTTGCCTAAGTGATTAACTGCCCAGGACAAATAAGTAGTAGATACACCATCAAGCAGGAAGCTTAAGCTGGGTTGGGGAGATGAATTTCTGTGCCTTTTAGTGCTGCTTCTTGCTTGGGGAAAGGTCTGGCAATGTCAGAGCTGCCCCAGTGATGGCCTTGGCATTCTCTGGTATTTGTTGGTTAATGCAGAGTGCCAAATAATACTTTGCAAATGGATCCCCTCAACCTCTGCTAGAAGTATCTCCCCACACATCTCTTGTGGGTGTCAGAAGCACAGAGAGCATTGTTCGAGATGAAAATAAAAGGTGAGGACACAAGGCCCATAAGATGCACATTAAAACCTCTACCTCATTTCCTGAACAACTGCTATGAGCAGGGCACCCTGCTAAGCTCACACTCTTACAGTAGATCCACGCTGTTTCCTGTCTTTTAAGATTGGTAATAAAGAGAAGGACAAGGAAGAGGAAGTTTTTTTTTTTTTTTTTTTCTGTCAGAAATACTGAAAGTTTTCTTACAGCTGCCTAGTTTCCTGATACTTATATTGTGAAACACTGAGTTCACTTTATCATTTCTAAAATTTACTTTGAGTAAGTTCCCATTTGGGGGAGAAGTCCAAGTGTGAGAGATAAAAGGGAAATCTGCCAATTGAGGAATTAGAATTTTTGAAACAGGCCAGTTTAAATAATTGGACTTCTTTGAGATAGATTTGGCTTCAGTTTGCTAGAAGAGTCTCTTGCAATTTAGAATTACAAGTACAAACAATTACTTGGGGTACTGTGTTTAAAAGACTCATCTGACATGTTGCAGGGGCCTATAGTAGCCTCTGTTATTCATTCTTGGACTTTTTTCAATCTTGTTCTGTAATTCACTTTACTTAGTCCTGAATAAGCTGTCACTTATTTGCCACTAAACTATTTCTTAAAAGTTATATATATGCACAATCAAGATATAGTTTTCATTTGTGCAGAGCTATTCCAAGCGTTGGTTATTTAACCTTCAACATATTTCCAGTCTCCCTTCTCTAGCTCCTGTCTTCAACAGTTTCTCCACCATCTTACAAAATCATCTAACCATTAGTTAATAAAAAGAGCTGACCAGTATGGAAAGAGAGTATTTATTAGTCTCATTATGCTAAAAGATGTAAATAATGCTCCATAAAATTACATGAGCAGGAATGAATTTCCAGACTCCATTGGAATGGCTATTTCTTAGTGGACTCAGCTCTGCTCTTGTTGAGTAACGGGACAAAGACAAGGAGGACTCATCTGTGCAGCTCAGAAGGTCTCCTACTCTGTCTCATTTCCGTTTTAGAGTTCACATTCCAGACAAAATCAAATATTGCTGGGCCTGCTTGCACTCCCACCTCTCTCAGCATTTAACATCACGCTCACTACTCTTTTTTAGCCCCAAACTGGGCTGATTGGAAGCCCATAGTCAGAGTCAGCATTCTTCTCCAGCTCTCCTTCCTCAACAACAGCTGGCAGGCAGCTCTAGTGACTTCTCTGAGCCCATTTTAGGCACTGGTGACAGTGCACAGTGAGACTGAAGAGATGGGTGTGGACCCATTCTGCCTCTACTGACAGTAAGGGTGTCCTGGTGTTTGGGCCTTCTGGTTGCCTCCACTCTTCCTGTAAATGTTAACCCTCAGGGGGGTGTGGGGAATGGAGAAACTTGCCTCTGAGAGACCTTCTGGAAAGGGAAGACCACTTCTGCTTTCCACAGGGAAGCTGTGTCACGGAGAAAGAGCAGAACTATAGTGAGAGGCCTGAGGGAGGAGGCCTGCGAGGAAGTGATACTTCCTCCTGCTTAGAAGGCCCCAGGCCCTGTCATTTGCCTACAACCCCACCTTCTTTACCACCCAAGGCTGCTTTTTTTCCTCAGGTTTCTTTCTGCCACCTTTTGCTCTTGGAGGTGGGTGGAGGGAGGGAGGAAGAGAGTAAAAGATTGAATCTAGTCATCTGTGTAGAGCTTTCTCTGGAGAAGCCCATACTTAATTTTTTCAATGACAGAAATGTGTACACTTTGAAATTTACCATCTTAGAAACCATTATGAAATTCTCAGTAGATGCTTAAAATCTTTTAATGTTTAGGCAATATAATAATTGTTTAATCCCAGCTAATAGTTCAGTGCTATCTCTTGGGATAGAATTGTGACTTTTAAACTTTTTTGACTCCAACCCATGTCAAGAAGCACATTTTATCTTGTGTCTGAATGCATATCTATTAGTATATATTTCAAAGTTTAAAAAAAAAAAAAAAGAGAGAGAAACAAAAAATTTGGTCAAAAT